GGGGGGGGGTAGGTGGCTGCGCATTGGAGGCGGGAGCTGATAAATTGGTGCATAAATCTAGAACTGTCAATGAGCTGTCAAATGGGGGGGTTGGAAAAGGAGCTATGCACTGAAGGCAATAGCTTGGATGCACGAGCGCCATTGAGGACGCGACTGGGCCATATCTGATAATGTCTCTAGCCATTGATGTGGCCCGTCTCGGGGTCCCCATCCAGGAAGACGGCAATGACCAGCTCAGATGAGTTTGCTAGTACTGGCTTTTATACTTCGCTGCCAAGTCATTGTTTGACTGCCTCTGGTTCTCTTCCACCCTTCACGTGGTTGTGCGAAAAGAGTCCTTCGATGAATTCGGTCGAGTGGCATACGCATCACGTGACCAAGCCAGCGTAACGCAGGCAGTGTGATCAGTTCATCTATCGAGGGACTGCGATCGGGCAGTGGCCTGGTCATCAAGGATGGTGATAGCCTTAACAAGCAACCTTATTCTTGTTGACGGCTGATGTCTTGCGGGACCTCCGTAGGACACAACCACGCGACAGCCCATCTAAGCTGTTGTCTCACTGCCTAGCTGCCCAATGTATGCGCCATCCTCACCGATGGTGTTCGTAGCGTAATGGTATATACCAGGTTCCGACATGGACTGAATCTATCCTATGTATATTTCCGTTGTCACCTACGACTGGTCTTCACGTTTTCTAATGTGCATGCCTCATTGGTTCGTTGCCACATGTTGCTACGATCATTTCAAACCACACCCCTCCAGAATGAACAGTTCGCATATTCGTGAGTATGGAGAATTCCGGTACAATCTTCCGGAATGATTGGTTGAGGTGGTTCGGACTACAGCTGTAGGTTGTTGACTTTGCACTGGGCTAGTGATGCCATGAAATTCATGAAAATATGGTTTCGTATGGACAGGTCACTTCAAAAGGCCAAAGCTAAACCGGGGCACACGACGGGTGAAACTCCCATCTGAGAGGTCGAGGAACCCGCAGTCACGTGATTGGAGGATGAGTAGCGCTGTATCCGGTGTGATTGCTAGTTAATCGCACTGCTTAACAGCCACTCATAGCCGAACGGCTAAGTGTTCAAACCTCTATCCGAGAGGCCACAGAGTGATGGCGTTGCGTGGTGGAGGACAAGGAAAGTTTTACTGGATTCTGACGCTTACGTCTCCAGTGTATAATCAGCTTGTTTATATATGGGGGGAAATTGTCTGATATGTTTGAATCATGTTGCTTTATGATGCAGTACCGGAGATATGACATGACTCAATGTATCTGAAGCATACCTGAGGTAGTTTTCATGAGAACGCTCCCTCTCAAGAGTTGGGCTAACTGATTTCCGTAGGTTGTGCTTCTCAGATGATGACCTTCAGATACTAGAGGTCACCTCCTACGGCTAATCCTTGGTTGGAAAAAAGCAGAGGATGATTTTGCATGCCTTACCAAAAGACTGGGAACACCGTGATCAGTAACTCTGGTTACGTCTGTGTGTGGATGGAGACTTCTGGACGATTCATATCAATGGCTATGCAATGGCACTAACGGGATCGTTCAGCTGAGGCACCCTTTTGTGCCTACCTGCCATGCCGCACGAGGGCTGGGATGCTGTCAGGGCGCCCAAGCCTAGGCAGAGGTCGGATTCGAACCACAGACCTTCCGGTCAGTAAATTCGCGCTCTAACCACTTGGTCCCTCTCGCCCAGTCATGCGGCCAATGATGTTGCCGTGTTCAAGTTGTCACCTTTATTCGGTTATTCTCATTGCCAACACCAGTGAGTTGGATAAGCTCCTGTTTTCAGTACACGGTGGTCCGCTCATAATCTTCCCCATGCTTTTTTATAATAGAAATGTAGCCGAAAAATTTGTAGCAACGTATTCGATTGTGGTCGAATTTGTCCGTAACATGATCTAACACTTAGCTTCGTGATACCGCGCAGAACATACCGACGTTGTGCAATCGTGGATGGAAAATGTTACAGCCACAGTTGGTCATACTTTAAGGAATCGCACTTGGGTGCGAAATTTAACCATTGGTTTAGGGGATGGTTCTTATGGTAACATGGGGAAAAAATCGATGGAGATTCGACACTATCAAGGTTTTTAGTCACGTGTAGTAGCCAACAGATACGTTTTACGACACCTTCAAGCCTAAGACCTGGACTGAAAATCCAGTAAATGGAATTTTGACCAGCTATGGTCGCTTTCGTTCGGTCTAAACTCGGGACCGCGTGATCCTCACTGTGCCTGGTTGGAGACACTACAAGATATGGCTGCCAACCGATGTCAGTGACGTTCTTGTTGTCAGTTTCTATCGAGATTGTCTGAGTGAATGTCTGGAGGTGTAGGCACCTCGGAATGATTGTGGTAAGCTACAACTAGGTCCCTTCCCTATCCGCCTTTACTCTTCTTTACAATAAGGCTTTCAAATAAATGATGGTTGTACGGCAGTGAAGCATCGGTGTTGAACACTGATGTCATGCTGTCGATGATGATGGTGTTGCTCTGGCGTAAACAGGCCTTAGTATCTATACCAGTTTTTTAGAGTCATAGAGCAGTTTGAAACAAGCGCTAGTCATTGAAACCTAGAGGCTTCCGTTTTCGCTGTCTAATTGAACAAAAAACATCTTGTGGGAAACGCCACCTGTCCCAAAAGTTTGTGACTACCGCTTGCTATTAGTATGAGGTTTTGAACTTTCAAAACACCTTTCGTTCCATGAATAAAACCCATCTTTTCGGAGAGGCTGGAAGGTTCATCCTTATTGAGAATCAACAGTAATGCATACCTCAGGAATACTCAGGTGGATTCGAATGTCCCACATCCGTATTACTACTACGGCCGAGTGCGGTCGACCAGCACTTAGATGAAATAAAGCCCCACCCATTCTGTAATCACGTGATTCCCGTCAGGGGCCTATTGTGGCTCCTATGATGACGATTGAAAGTTCAGTGTTCCCCTAGCTACCTATATATTTTTTGTTAGTATGGGGAGACTTTGTAAGTAGTATCTTAGAAGGAAGAATAATTCACACCATGCGAGTGAGAAGCTGTCATTCAAGGAGCCAGTCAAACCGAGGGTTCATCTTGAAATGTCAGCGTAGCATTGGACGGTTGCTTTGTACGTGTTTAATTTTTACTCTACCTCATAACAATTTCTCTCTAATAAAGCCTGATCTTCCCGACTTCACTCCCATTATCAGGGGGAAAATCAGTTAACGCAGTTTAACCCTTAGCCATAGTGATTGCCGTATTACGTCTGTCGCGTGTTGTGAGGACAACCTGTAATTAGACGGGATCTGGCTGCAACAAGTTCGGTGACCGAGCAACCGAATGGGACAGAATCCTCCTCCCCTTGCCCCTGGGCCTGTCAGTTGACTTTAATGGCTGACCCCAAATCAGCTGAGCAGAAGGGTGTAAAGCCACTGGACGGTGATGATCCGCGCTGCTGTGTGTGTGCGGGTCAGATTGGTGTGGACACACCGTCGGTTTGTACTGGTTACCAAGAGACTGACATCAGGGGCTCTGATTATTCTCACCTGTATCACGGCCACAGAAACTGAAGCTGTGTTAAACTCAACAGTGTGTTTCAAGCATTCGAAGCATTCGAAGTCGGTTAGCCACCATATCGTTTAGTGTTTCCATTCTAGCAGAGGGAGCATCGCGTGGACCCCATCCTCGAAGGTGAACTTTTCACGGCATCCTTCATTCCTTTCTGCTATGTTATATCTGCTGATTCGCCTATCTGTGGTATCTGCTGCTGACACGCTCCAGTGCCTAGTGCCGGAGAAAAAAGACTCACAGAAGGGAACACAACCGCCATATTCCGAACAAGCGAGTGCGAGAAAAAAGGTTACAACGGCCCCACGCTATTTAAAGGGGACTTTGTGACATTCATCCGGGCTGTCTGATAAGCGTTATTGAACACCCATCAACATCGGTCGTGCCTCTATGAAATGCCTGAACGCAGATCACATTCGGTCGTGCTTTTGTGGCGTGCAAGAACACTCATCAGCTTTTGCTGAATCGATTGAATGATAAACTGGCCTGGATGCTTGCCGGCTTTCCTGTTGAGATTTTGGTGGGGCAGTAGGTTCCGGGCGTTTTGAGGTTACTTTCAGCAATCTGGCCTTCCTGATATACTATATCAAATTATGTTCACCTCTAGGTCGCCACCAATTCGAACTAGGCAGGCGGGGAAATCCCAAGAATATGAAAAATATATAGGCACGAGTTCGAACCAGGGTTATTGAGGATGGTAGTGGAGTAATCATATATCAAATGGAATGTTGGGGGGATCAACCATTGCGGCTTTCATTTAGAATATACTACATTAAGTCAAATCACCCCGCTAGAGTAGAAAATAGGTCACTGCGGTAGACAAACGGCGGCTTCACGTCAATTTATCCCTTCGGCTGAAGATATGTCTACCACCATGAAATACACGGCCATGGATTATGTACTTTCTGGCTTTTCATACCGGTGGCACAATTTAGAGATGATGGGAGGCAACAGAAAGTTATGATGGCGAGCTGTTCTCACCCGTAACAGCACCCGTTTTGTCGTTATGCCGATCGGATTAAGTGGAGCGA